GCTAGATAAATACCTGTGTGATTTTAGCCTGAATTTCTACCCCAAACTAATTAGCAGATCTTCCAAAATGTGACTTGAGCTGGATCTGTTTAATCAAAGATTTCCATTATAAATTCTCTTAAGTTAATTTCTATCAGTAACAAATGTCACAAGAGACGTCCTAAGACAATCCAAGTCAGATCCACTGCAAGAAAGGATCAGTCTTTGCTAGCAAACACTCTCAGAGAAAAAGCAGAGAGAGGAATATACTGCTCCTTTGGGACTGTAGAAAAACAGACTGTAGAAAAACTAAGCCCTCTACACCAAAACAACCACTTATTCCAAATAAAGCCAACATGCAGTGCCAACATACAAAGCAGACGCGCCACCACCCACACCTTTGATAAAAGCTCTAATTTTGAAGACCTAATATTGGGATCAATTCCTATTCTTCCTACAAACCAGTACACATTTTTGCTATCTGCAACGTACAAGTCTGCATATAGTGTCTGTATGTACAACGTCAGTTAGAAATCCTCCACCAAGTTTGACTCCACCAATACTAAATTTTCAGAGAAGGAACAAATTTCCATTCTTACAAGCAGTGCCCACCCAAATCAAATTGTATAAAGATTTTTGAACCACATAAGCCATTCCCACCTCAAGGTTAAGCTCCTGAAAAATTCCCAAATGATTTCACTTTTTCCTTCAATGGAAAAATCCTCAAAAGGTTGCCTCTTTCTTGGGAAATTTCTGTCCTTAGATGAATGACTTTTGGTCACTTAAAATTCAGTTAGGAGGGAAACTCTGGGACTGATTTAGATGACACATCAGTGTCTCTCAATTAGAAGAGTTCACATAACCTAAAAATCCCTCCTACTTCACTTAAGTCTATGTCCACTCAATTCATACTAGAATATAGAGAAAGGACAGACTGTAGACTAAGTAGAGATTTAGAAACATCGATTCAGAGTCAAATCTGAGTGCTCACTCAACTCTAATCAACTTTTCCTCATTGCCTCTCTATTTTTAAAAACCCTTTGTTCTCTCGGAGTTTTAAACTACAAAGTATTATATTTTTAAAGCATCCCCTACGGTCTAGATTTACTGAAAGAAAACTATACTTGAAGGTCTAGGAAGGGTTAAGTTTTCCAAAACGCTTCTGAGGAAGTCATAATTTGGCTAGAAGTTTTGGCAACAGCAACACATAACTCCATTGTGTTCACCAGTGGTTTCATTGTGACTTAGCCTCACAATTAGATAATAAAACTCCTTATGGAAAGGACCATGCAACCTATGTTTTGATTTTCCCACTTCCAAGTCTAAGTAAGGAAGAAAATAAACCCTACCATATCCTTATTAGTTAGAGAAAAAAACTTTTTTGATATAACATCTGAGTGCTTACATTGTGAGCACATGGTTCTATGTAGGAAAAATATACAGCGTGGGGCTCAGAGAGACATGAACTCTTCTGTGTAACAGTTAACTTGTTCATTTCTGCATTTTTTAAACCCCTTTGGAAATTAAATGTTGAAATTTACCACATAAAAAAGTGCAGCCACTTTACAAGTCAATTGCCAGCTCAGCATCTTCTAAGGCAGTATGTATTTATACGTAAAAACATAATCTAACAAATAAGTTCCACTGGGATGGTTAAGTGCCAGTTAAAAAGCTTGCTTTTAACAGTATGGATAAACATCATGAGAACTGAGGTTTTATAATCAGGCAAGCGAAGGAAAGACTGTTCGATTTTAGTATGGTACATCTCTCTTACAAAAGTATATAATTGCACCTTCACAGTAAAAAGATTAGTTGCTTTCAATAGATTCTTAGGTGGAAAAAAAAAAGCAACTTATTATTTCCTCTCCACTAAGGAGTAACATCTCCCATAATGACAGGAAAGCTATACATTAAATTGCCCGATCCGGAAGTACAATCTCGTCACGAGATGTCAGTAACCCTCACCTGCTCTCACAAGTTAAAAATAGACTAAATTCTCACCCTCTTCTGCCCTCTTTCATCAGCAATTCTTCTGATTATAAATCCTGCAAGAAGAGGCACTAAACAAGTATCTAATAATTTAGGAATTCTCCTCTACTTCTCACCTCAAGGGCGCACCTTATCTGATAAGAGGCAAAGGTGGAAAAGAACATGACCATAATGTGTATGGACATCTAGGGTGACAGGAAAGCAATCCTAAATATTCTTAGCACAAGTTTTTGAACATCTACTGTGACCACTAAACACTTGTGTGCCACCTTCTACCAATGATCGCACAACAGATGGCACTTGTCACACAAGTGGGCTGACACAATACTAACTGTGCTATTCCTCCTACTAGGAATCATCTCACTCCTCTCCTTTCAGTGTCTTCACAGAGCCCATCAGCTATAGACGCCAAAGCTAAATTACCTTCAGGCCTAGTTTGTCTTCCTTCACAAATCTCAATAACACTATACAGTTCTGTGTTACTCATAAATTTAAAGAGGGAGAAATTTGAGAAATATTCTAATTCAAATCTCTCATTCTATAGATGGGCAGCAATGGAAAATAATTTGTTCATAATAGCACATGTAATTGTAGATTATAACAAGTGAAAAGTATTAGGGATTTATCTCTATTATCATTTGCTTCCCTTCCTACTAGAAAAATAACACTTGATTTGAATAAGAAAACACCACTTGTTTTTAAAACCCTTGCTTATGTCAACAAAGGTAAGAGTCAGTCTTTCCTTCTTAGTGATTCACAAAGAATGAGGCAAAATAATTGCTTTTCAAATATTTTCCCTACAACAAGGATAGCTTTGATTTCAAATACCGTTAGAATCAGAAGGGCAACTATTAGAATCAAAAGCTACTCAAATTCAGGACATACAAGTCCTAGCCTTCTTTTATGATTCTAAACTCTTTCACCAAAGGACAAAATAGAAAGAAGGAATTTGAGGACAGAGAATAGAGAAGTAAGATCAAGTGTGGGAATAAGAGAGTCAAGGATGAAGAATCACAGCTTAGTGTAGGCTCAGAAATAAATTGGTTTCTTACCTGAAAGGGTAAGAAGCCTTCCTTCTACTCCTTTGGGAGGGAGGGAGAGCCTAAGGGGAGAGGCAGCGGTTCTACTGCAACCTCTCTCCACTAGGAATAATTACTTTTCTCACATATCTCACAGGGAGAGGTTCAGAACACAAGAACATCGCCCTTCTATAGAAGCCAGCACTTCCTCCCTCATCCCACAAAAAAGGAAATATAAAAAATGAAAAAGCAAAGCTTTATCCAAATGTTGTTTCTTTCAAATTCTCCAGCTTTTTTCTCTTATCTCTTGTTTATCCAGTTTCTTCTTGCACCTTCATATAACACTTTCAAGAGCAAAACCACTTCTTCGGACCAAACTACTCACATTACTTCTAAACATATTTGTAGACAACCCCCCGCCATCCTCCATGCTGTTACCCGAGTTCTCTTTTTCTGTATACCTAATCCTTCTCTGAAACAAGGAAGGCAAACTATACAGGGAAGATACAGCAAACTGGAGAATCCTAGGTCTAACCCTGACGTTTGTCCTTCCCTGCTAAAGGACCTCAGACGAGACACATTTTCTCTTTGAATTCCAGTTTTCCCATGTGCAAAGTAGTCATAATCTACTAACTAGTCAGTTCTGTAAGAATTACAAATTGTACTACACAAGCTCCCTCACTGCATGATTGCAATGTGCCATACATGAGATAAATGATAATACTATTGTACTACTAAGGTAGTACGTTTCCGGAACATACATATTTTCAGAAACACTCACGTGTCAGATTTGGGAACATTTCCCTGAGACCCACCTCTTCACATGTTTTCTCAAGTTTTTGGTTCTCCCAAGCTTTTAACTAAAAATCATCACCAAAAGTATATTCTTGATGATTTAAAAAGAATGACTTCCAAACAATTAATCATTATCAAATTGGAAATTTCTCAAACTACAAATTTCTGTGCCTCACCTACTAGAAATTCTGGTTCAGTAGGTCCTAGGGAGAGACTAGGAATTTATGTTTAATAAGGCTCACGATAGGTTCTAATGATCTGTGAGGTTTTGGAACCACTGTTTTATATAATCCAAGGTCTTCCCCTTTCTGCAGAGAAACATCTGCAAACTGGAAATTACCTGTTCAGCTTCTAATTAGCAGCACCTGCTCTGTGAACCACACTCCCTTCCTCTGCTTCCTTCAAGTGATAGTCAATCCCACCCTTGGTCCTGCCAAAAACAAAACATACCCAGGACAAAGGTAACTCAGTAGGCACTAAAGCCTTTGGATTTGTGCAGAAAAACTGCTATAAACAGCTTCGTTTCTCATTATTAATCTATCTCATGTGGGGATTTCCACAGGCAGAAAGGCTCCCCAAATGCCACAAGCTATATTTTCTTGTGGATCACTGAAACCTAATTATTAACAGACCAGTAAGCTCCACTACAAGACTTTCATACAATCAGCAGATTACAAAGCAGTCTTGAATTATGGGTTATGGAGAACAACTAAGGAACTGAAGGGCAAATGATTTCTCCACCACTGCTCTCCTACCTGCCACAATATTTGAGCTTCCTTGGAAAATAGAAATTTTGTACAAGGCACTACTTACATAAACCATTTTTAGTTTGAGAAGCTTGAGATACAGAGTGTATGTGACAAAATCTGTCTATTTTGTTTGTCCTAATTATAAAGATCTCCCTCCTACCTTACCAGCCAGTCTACTGAGACTACAGCCACAGCATGAGTCAGTCTTCGTTTAACACCAGTAGCACAAGCATCGACCTCTGTTACACACCAAAGAGCTGACTAAAAGGGTACCATGTGGAAGTTTCAAATCATAACACTGAGTTTGGTATGGTCTATTAATTTATAAGCAATCACAAAGTTCTGCAAGGTAGTCCTCTAGCATTCCACCAAGTGGATCTAATTTCAACTTGTTAGAAAGAACAACAGAAAAGCAGGCATCCGTAGAAGGGATTCTGCAGCCATAGAAAACAAACCCAGACATCCTTACCTGTCGGAGTCCCTTTGGCATTTTCTTTCTCTTCCCAAGGTGCTGGCAGAGATTACGATCATTTTCTCGATCTGAGCTGTAGTGATGTGGGTGGCTGAGTCTGCTCTTCTTGGAATGAAAGGACAAGCCGTTGGTAAGTGCTTCTCGTTTCTTCTTGGTCAGAGGGGTCTGGCGTTTCTCGACACGTTCCTGAGGCTTAAGTGCTACATCTTTCTGCAGAGAAAGAAAAGGAAACGTGGTTACATAGGTTTCTATGGTCATACTCAAATTATAGGCTACATGGGGCTATTAGAGGAGGGGCAGACGGAGGCAGGAACGTGAGCTATGAGAATACCTAACAGAGTTATGGTTCTTAATTTTTCCTCACTGCCAATGCCAGATTCCAAATATATCCTTTCTGTTCTTGTTTGGCAGAAAACGCAACAAAGCACAAAGTATCTCTCCAGTAAATGTGATTTACCTGCTTACCAGGGAGAGAGTGGCTTTCCATTTGATTCTATACTGGGTCTAGAACACAATGTCACTCCCCGTGAGGGCTCAATACACTCATTTCCCAAGTTGGGAAAGTGATTGTTTTGGGAAATGGAGTATTAAGTGCATGCACAATTCAAAAAAACAGCAGAGATTGAACATACCAGCGTCAAGTGGATATGAGCCAGTAAGAAAAATAAAATGGTCAATTCATATGATTAAATGTTTCCTTAACGTATCATGTATTTTTACCGCATGTTTCTCCAAGCGCCCTTAATTCCTACTTATTTAAAAAAAAAATCACCTAGATGAACAATGTTAGGAGAAGGGTAATAAATAGATGTTCTAGAATAGGGAGCAGCATCTGCAGAAACTACAGGAGGGAATGTCGGACCACACAGCCTAGTAGAGAGTTCTTTCTGTGCCTGCAGGCAGCTCAGAACAGACTGAGATACCAAGACCTGGGTTACAGTCCTGACACTGACATTACTCATTACCACACTTGGGTTAAGTTACTGCAACTCTGAGCCCACATGCAAAATGGACAAATGACCTGATATGATTCATGCGGGTGGCCTCTGGACCCTGAAGGACACTGGACACATTAAAACTGAAAATGATCTGACTCTATTTGTAAATAAACTATACTGAAAATACTCCTTCATGGAGCCTCATTCCATACCCAAATTCAAAGTTTCTATGGTCATAATTTTTATAAAATTAAATAATGCAAAATAAAAATTTTCCTGTAGCTATATCTCCTTCTCAAAATATCACTCATTCTTTCTTCTTCTCAGCAATATTTTTGAGGTAACGAGTTAGCTTTTCTACTGCTTCCCAACATCCCAGCACTTCCAACCTGACATATACAGTGCTGCTCAACGTCTTTCCCAAAATAAGTCATTGTCATTAGTTGGAAACCTTGGACCTATTTTACATCTGCTTCCAGTTGGTCTCGAAAGCCCTCCCTTCCACACCTCTTTCTTTTCTAGTCCAATGAGTCTTAGCAGTGCTGTCCTCTTGAGAAGACCTTTGTTATAAAGCGAAACACTGTTCTCATTCACTCATTCAACAAATTTTTTTTGTGTCCCCAATATAGGCCAAGTACAAACTTAGCACAGTTCTATAGGTGTGGGGAATCAATCATGTTGGGGGAAATCCGTCTCCCTTAGAATTTAGGAGAAAAATACTAATCAAACCATATGAACATATAATTGCATATTGAATTGCTCTTAAGAAAAGCAGTGCTAAACCTGGGGGAAAATGGTCTAGTCCAGAGGTGGGGTTGGCACTGAGGATATCAATGCCTTCTGACCTAGTTCCGAAAGTCACAACAGCCAGAACAGCTTGTACAAAGGCCCTGAGGCAGATGGCAGCATGAACCCTTGAAAAAATGAAAAAAACCCTTGAAAAATGTATCCTTCATCTTAGTAATGCTTCACATACTGAGAAAAGCAAATAATAGGTGACATATATATTTATGCTTACTAGATAAAGTTAACAAATGACAAACTTATAAAACACAACAGTGGTTTTATATCCCAAGCTAACTTGGGATCTAACGCAGAGTGAAGCAACCAAGAAAAGCTGTTTAGAGCAGGAAAAAAAAAAAAACCTAGCAGGCACTGATGCCACACGCAAAAAAAGATTGCAGAAAATAGCAAGAAGCCCCAGAAAAGAGAAAGGTCTTATCCTTAGAGCAAGATATCAAAGATAACACTCTTATAAGGTAAATGAGTGGCTTTTGATCTAAATTCTACTTGCTATTCCTGCAGATGATTTACCCTCTGCCATTGGTGAGGCAGCTATCCTGAAGCAATGAGGAAGTAGTGGGAAATGTTTAGGGAACAAGGTGAGAGATCAAAGCAAGTGCATATGGTCACTGATTCCTGACTCAAAACCATGTTTATATGCCTAACCATGGTAAATGTTCAATGTAAGTCTCTGCTATATTTATTCCTTTGTACTGTATCTACAACCACAGTCAATTATGTCAGACATCTGTTCAGCTCAAACTAGTCTGTGTTTAGCCTCACGTGTTACCGAAATAGTCAGCTATCATGAAAATATCTTTGGAATAATGAGAACCTTAGCAGAAGCAGTCAGGTGAGTTCCATCTTACACTGCTTCTATATGATTAAATTGTACTATTGTTAAGAGTAATAGATAAACTCCCCACAGTTTTCTTTGTAATACCGGTCACCGACTACTGCCCTACATCATGTGCATGTGGTATTGGGATTAATAAACCAATGATATTTTATAAAGTATCAACTGTGCTTTAAAAAAAATTGTACCATTCTCTTTGGAGACCAAATCTCCTTCTTTGGTGCTCCAAAGTATATTGAAAATTATGTGTAATTCCATACAAATGTGAATTAATATTTATGAGAATATGGTATGATTTCTTCCAAATCCATTTTATTTTCATGTAGCATATTAATCAAGGCATTCTCACTGTACCCGCAGAATAGCTGCACAGAGCAAATGGACCCCATGCCGTGACATTAGCTTGTAAGAGACCTGCCAAAGTCTTAGAAACAGCAGCACAATCATCTTAGTTCCAATTAATTTTGAGATTTTTCAACTCTGGGGGTGTAGACCAGGAAGAGACAGAGAAGATCAAATTGTGTGCAGAGGTGGTAGCTGAAGTAGTAAGAACAGTCTTTAAAAAGAAAAGATTTATATTTTAAATATGAGGGATTATTCTTTCAAAGATTTAGCCTTATTTATGAATTATTGTACAGGCCCTTTGGTACAATTCCTGAATAAACCAGCTACTGTTTCCTTACTGCCTCTATTAACTGACTGCCTACTACCTTCAAAATAATTATTGAACTTTTTATTGAGTGCCTCGAGGGAAAGAATTACAAAAACTACAGTATAAACACTAAGACAAATCAATTAATTATAAACTAATTATATAAGATTACAAAGAGTTGCTCGCACAATTTCATACATGTGTTTGCACATATATATCCACCTACACCTCACCATCAACTAACTATTAGCAACTAATATAAGAGTATCTTTACAGGAACTAGGACAGTCTATAAAGTATGACTAAAAGGTAGGGAAGAAATTATCTGATAAACAAATCTTCAGGGTCAATGACTAGATGAATTTCAAAAGTCTGATGATTCGTTGGCCTACCATGATTCCCAAAGAAAACTAATGGCCTGTCCATCAGAATTAGCTTTCTGAAAATAAGATGACTATGCCTCATACCAGCAAGGGAAGCATTTAGTAAACAAGCACGGGAAGAAAAAGAGGAGGAGAGCAGAAGGATAAGGATGAGATCTGAAAAGAATGCTTCAAGGCATTCAAGAAAGAAAGCAATAAAGCCAGCCAGCCAGCAACAGAAGACTGGCTGTGAGGTAAAAAGATTTAGACACATTTACTGGCAATAGAAGAGGTAAGTGCACATGCTACGCACAACAGACGAGAGTAGGTTTCCTGAATAGTTGAAATTATGTGATTTTTAGGTCATTGGTGATGGAGGGCAGGGTCACAACAGCGCATATGCTGAGAGGCTCAGAGACCAACTAACCAAAGCAATTTCCTTCAACACCCAGCTTTCTTCAAAATAGATGATCTTGCTCTTGACTTTCCCTTCTCACAAATTACAATCTTCTACCAAAGGCTTTCTCTGCCACTCTTGAATTTCAAAATGAGGTGGTTCAGTGTTGTGCAAACTAGGGGAGAGCAACAAATTGCAGATGAAACACTGTGTAGGCTGCAGGGCTCCATTTGCTGATTACAGATGAAGCCAGAGACAATAGAAAATGAGAGCACAATTTGCCTGCCTTGCATGAAATAGGTTTTAGAAAAAGATTCTCTGCCTGATTTTTCCAACCAAATTAATCTGAGAGCAGCTCATCACTTACAACATATCTGTGGTATAAGTGTCTGCATGCACCCCTGTGTACGTGTATGTGTAAAACAGAGGTGCATCTAAATAGAATCTCTTCTGCCAGTCATTTGATATTAGGGACATGCAAAGAAAATAACGGAGAAGCCAGGAAAAAAAGAAAAAGTATGTTGTCACCATCAATGGCTATGTGCTGTCAGTTTAGTCTATCGAGTTCTTTACTTGTTTCTTGTATCGCATCTGTACTTGTTTTTAAATGGCTTTACAAACATTGATTCCATCACTTCTCTTCAATGCAAAAGAGGTGAAAGGGTTTATAGTGGGTAAAGAAGTCAAAAATTAAATAAGCAAAACACACAGTTTTTTAAAACTTAATCTATATAGCTATGTACATATTGGTGCCCAACTTTACTTCTGAATAAACGGACCCATGAACAGACATTCAGGACCTAAATTTTCCAGTAATAAGAATGTGTAGGAAATGACAAAAAAATAAATATGAAAAAGCATCCCTTGTGCTCATTTCCTCTAAAAACATAAAACAAGGGCCTCCCTGGTGACCTAGTTTCAGCATTATCACCTCTAAGACCTGAGCTCAATCTAGCCAGGTTGCTAACCCACATATGGCGCAGCAGACCTCTCCTGTCTCTTCTGCTACTGCCTTCAGCAGTATATTTCAGTAGATCCACCTGTTCTGCTCCCCAATCTGTCTCTGGCGAATTTTCTCACCCCCCACACCTCTGGCTTATACCCAGTTCTTCGATGGATGGATGGATGGATGGACGGACGGACAGATTTTTGAATAAATAAATAAAAGCAAAAAGCAAAGCCAAAATACCTACTTGTATACCAGACTGTTTGCAACCTGTTA